TGAAAGAAATGCTCTTAGGAATGCCAGTTTCTTTCTACATATGCAGAGTTCGGATCTGCTCACAGCAGTGAGGGTATGAACGAAACTAGTATGGTAGTGTTCCTGGGATTGTTTAAATATAAATAAATCAGGTAAGAATGATGAAGTTATCTTTACATCAATAAATCAGGTGACACTGAGCCCAGCATTGTCACAGTTAGTTCACTGACTGAGCTTCAGCCAATCTGAAGATGCATTCACTGGGTTAAAGACATACATACCCTACTATTTGCTCTATCCTGATTTCATAAATACAGTGCCATTTGCTTTTAATTTAGCCAGGTTTGTGCTTTGAAATTAAATTCCTCTCAATTCCATGCCATTTTTTAAGTCTACAGTTTACAGATTAGAAACATGTTTATCTGTGTAGCTGAGGCAGTATTTCTAGAAATTTGACTTTAATGACTAAACAGAGCTTTAAATGAAGGCAAGAGGGCCTTGTTTTGAAACTTGTGTTTTTCATGTGGATTATAGCAGATTTTCCAGCATTTGTCTGAAATTTTCTTTAAATTGCTCATATTCAGCAAATTTGGTTTTACTTCCGTCATCGATTCTGGTGTATTTTGCACTGATATCTTAATTTCTCTGCTAATAAACTAAGAAAAGGTAAGAGAGGAGTACCTATTTATATAATGTATTCTTTCCTTCCTGGTTTGCAGCTATTTCTAAACTATACTGCACAAGAAACTACTAAGAACACCTAATATGCACCTTCGATTATGTTTCATGCTACCTATTTCTGCATTTCCTGATTTTTCTAAATGCTGGTTTGTTTTTTTTTTTGTTTTTAATCTCTTCTTTCTAATTACACTCAAGCTCTTCTTAATGGATTCCTGTCACTAATCAGAGCAGCAGAGGACCACTTATTCCTTTTGACAGAGCCTCCTGGGCTAATGCAATTACCTGGCATAGCCAAGCATTTTATCAATCCCTTTAACCTTTTAAAATTAGTGCTCTTGCCACTTTATTTGTTTAGATTTTTAAGAGGCTCTCTGGTGCACTATACGCTTACAGGTATTTTAAAATTCTAAATAGGATTTAGCGTATTAAAAATACTAAAAATTATGTAGCAAAAATCATCATCTATGCAAATAACCTACAGTGTCTTGTAAAATCACCCTCTTCTATCCCATCTGTTTCCTCTTTTCCTTTCCCATCCCCTGTACTTCCACCACAGTCCAAATTAATTCACACATGGTAAAATAGAAATGTTTCAAATAAACCAATTCTTCTACATATTTTGAAAGTCCCTGGTAACACAGCAGCCATGTAGCATACGCTGAAAGTTCCCAGTTTCAAGATATTGGACATAGAAGTGAAAGTTTAAAACTTTTCTAGAAGAAAGAACCTGAAATGAGACTACAGAGTAGTAGTATAACATGCTGCCACTGTATAGCATTGCATCTTCAGCAAAGAAAATCATATATTATATATTAGATCCTTTAGATACTCTGTTTTTCCTCTTTTTTTGAACTTGGAATAGACTTTCTCATTACTGCAGTCAAAGGACGTTACAGTATTATGCACAGCTAAAATATACAGGTATACGACCCTCTGATATTTTCAGTTTAAAATCATGTAATCCCCATAACTTCTGTAGCATTATACCACAATACAGTAAGCGAGCACCTCTTCTACAATGTTTATTTTTCATTAGATAATCCGCATACTGCTGAGTGTCAAACTGGGTCTGCAAGAGTGATCTGGGGATAGTCTAGATAAACATGTTCAGGCTCATTGCTATGTACCTGTATCACAAACTACATCCTTTTAAATTTTGTTTGACTGCTTTACCTGATTGCCTAGCTTTCCTCATTAGACATAAATTCTTCTTGTAAACCTCCCACCATCCTAATAATTCTTCTGGTTATCTCTGTAGTCCCTTTAATGTTTTCTGTATTTTTGATGGTTTCATTAGTGGCTGTTTAAAGGAATTAACTTTTTAAAAGAAGAGGAAGATAATGATGGGCTTGGATTGTTTTCAGCTTTTGAAGTGTGTAATTTCTAGACACTGGATCATTTCATCCTCTGCAAAGTGTAAAAAAATAGTCTCTAAAATCTCTTAGACTGAGCAGTACCATGACCCATATCCCACAGGGTCATTTTTTTTCTTAAAAAAATATCCTACCCTACTTAATGGTAATACTTGTTTTGACAGAGGATCTTCAATCAAGAAAATGGCTGATTAGTTTTATAGGTCCTTATTAATTACATAAATCTAGAAAAAGTAATTAAAATGTGGCATGGTTCATCAAGCATAATTTTGTTGGACTCATCTTTGTGCATATGTTCAGCATCAGGACCATGCGATGTGCATAACATTGTACAGAAGAAAATATAGATGGGGCTTCCGATGGATAGGATGTCATTTGCTGAACTACACAAGATAAATTTAGAAATTGAGATATTAGAGGAGGCAAGTTGTGTTTCATTTCAGATTATAGTAACTGGATTGGTCATCATGAAAAATTTGCTAATTTTACCCTGGATAAATATATAGAGAGATATACCAGTCTGTGAATTAAATGCACTTCTGCACCTATTGTAAGAAACACTGGGAGCGCAGGCTTAACGGTTACTGTGATCTAAATCATTATTGCATGCAATTAGTGTAAGAGCAATCATTGTATAACATAGTGACTGCTGTGTAATGCACTTCTGTTGTATGAAACTAAAATTGCCTAAAGGCAAAGATCTTCAGTGAGCTCTATGTAGGTTAACGGCACTGAATGAAGGTAATGAAACCCTGGAAAACGCTGCCTCCATATTCAGAGCTGTTGCAATGTAGCTCTGCAGTGGTATAACTGCACCCATCCACCAAAGGCAATTTTCCCGCCAGCTATGACCTGTCACTTAGAGCAAATTTGATGACATTCTGTGCTGTGGCTACCGTACCCTTTGTTAAAAATGTCTTTGGAGAAGGAAACTCACTGGCGTTAAACTTGTTGTGTAGCTGCTGGTATTTAAAACAGGGTAAAAAGAAATTATATTTAGAGTATAAATATTTTCACAATATTACAAGACAGCTGTACTAGCTGATATGCCTGATAGACTATGGCTCTGGTCCATGGCGTTGTTATTTATCATTAGTTCCCTGCCCTGTGAAATTCTGAATTCCAAACCAAAACAAAAACGTCTGGATTAAGAAGTAAAAAAAAAATGCTTCTTTCCCAAATAAAAGAAATTCTTTGTAAAAATTATTTTGAAAAAAATTTTAGCCACATTCCGTAGAAGATCTTTACATTAAATAACATTACATTCTAGAAAAGCAGGCTCTGGTGCTTATCACTCAACTCAGGACTCTTGAGTCTTGAAAAAGTGTGTCCCCTGCCCCAGACTCTCTGTTAAAGGGTTCGAGAGCAATCTTGCCTGCA